GCTATGAGTCAGGTCCGACTTGACGGCACACAACAACAACAAACAACAACAGCACCTCCAGTACAATGTTCAATTACTGTCCCTTAATTAGATATTTGACTCAGTATAGACTTCTATACTCACAATTAATTCCTTGATGCTATCTTTCCAATGTCCTCTAGAACCTTCACATACTTTGTGAACTCTGGCCCCAATGAGCTTGTCGTTCTATCGAGGGTGAATTGCATTTTACCAAGAAAGAAATTTTAGAATTATTTTTAAAGTTTACCCTTGAATTTCCTTATTTTATCATGAAGGAGGAAGGTACCACTGCATTTGGAAGTTTATGCACAAAGCCTGTGGTTTGTCTTTTTTTCCCCCTCTATAAAATGTTTAACCATTACTCCCTGGACTGTTGCCAGACATTATTCTCACTTTCAGTTCTGACACTGAAAGAGATAAATGTTGACCCTTCTCGTTGCACAGCTGATGCATCTTATTTGTGTATTTAAGCTCAGTGCTAGGCATGGTCTTGGTCAGTGAGCAGAGATACTTCAATGCCTGTGAACCAACGTGAGGAATGAGTGCTACATCTTCCTACCTCACGTAGAAGCCCTGACCCCTTGCATCCCCCGAGGTTCCCAAGTCTTCCTCTTCTGTGCTCACACGGAGGTGAAAGCTCCGCCCTAATGACCCCCTACCTTGTTTCTGGGATCAGTGATGAATCACTTTTACCCTTAAATCTTTGCTATGGCCTTAGTTCTCCATTGTTGGAACGTTCCATTCTCTTCTTATGCATATGGTTGTTTTCTTCTGCATATTTCAGAAATATCATATAGAACATATCTTGATAGAGCCCTTGAGTGGCACATCTGTCTTTTGACTTGACTTGGACCCTCACACCACAATCCCCTCATCTCCCAAGCCCAAGTCTTAAGCTGGTCTGGAAATGAACAAGAATTGAGCCCCTCCATATCCAGCCATCACTGACTCCCACAGCCACCGTGATGAGTGGCTTCATGACCACACGCTCCATGAGGACAATGAGTCTCAGAGAAGAGCCATTGCTGGTCAAGATCACCTAGAAAGGAGGTGATGGGCCCAAAACTCAATACAAATCATACTTTACTCTTAAATCTGAGCTGAAACACAGCTCACCTTCCCTAAAACTCAAAGAAAGAACTGCAGTGTGAGGAGGAAAATTCTGCCCACGGACACCAGGAACATTCAGAGGCAGAAGTGCCTCAGAGGTTGAATCCCAGGTATATGGGGATAATGATGCTATGGGTAAGGAAAAAGGGAAGTTTCTGATAGGATCTGTTTAGTAGGAAAAGAGAAAACCCTCAATGTGAAGGCGGGAGGAAGAATCACCTTTTCTTCCTCCATTTTCCCATGTTTCTCTTTGTGCTCACAGTGTAACCAGACTTTGGTTGCATTGTTGGTTGCCAAAGTTCCTCTCTGAGCTCTGCAGGGCAGAGTATGGATTGTGGCTTCCTGCAGCATCTCCAGAGACTGGCATGATGGCAGCCAATGCCCGGTACTGCCCTGCTGACAGATGACTGGAGGGAGTAGGGGATATGCCCATGGAAGAGGCTCTGAGAAGGGCAGGGACGTCTCCTTGATCACCCTGGAGGTGCTGACTCATGATTGGCACTGGGGGCTATTGGCTACGACTTCCAGTCCTTTCAAGATGGGTGAAGGTCAGACAGACAGCAGCTAGCATCATGAGAATCCTCATTTCTGTCTGAACTGTCTCCGGAGAGCCTGGTGCCCACTCAGCCCTGCCCTGGGGAACTGAGAACCAGGCTGCTGGGAAGGAGCTGTTCCCCTTCCTGAGGGCCGGCTGACATGACAGCCCCATGATGGGT